GAGAGAGAGAGAGAGAGAGAGAGAGAGAGAGTATCTTTGCCAATCCCGGCTAGTTAATCTCATTAACCATACCAACACTGCTAATTCCGCCATTAGCAATATAATTAGTATCTTAATTACCCTATGAAACATCAATTTCGTTCTCTCTCTCTCTCTCTCTCTCTCTCTCTCTCTCTCTCTCTGGTTGGGTTTGTGAAAATGCAAATGATGACGTGGCATATGACTAAGCAAATCATCCTCCAATTTGCTTCGTCGTTAAGAGAAGTTTATAAAGTCGACAACTTTAACTTGAGAAACTTTTGAAAAAACCTTATATAAACAAAGCATCGTCACCTCTTCTTCCTCCCCCCCCTCCTTCCCTCCCTCTCCTCTTTCCACCCTCTCTTCCCACTTTGCACAATAAGTGAAAATGGATCACAGAGACAACAACGACAACACATGCATGAAGAGAAGCGCTTCAGAGTTGGCTCTCGAGGAGTATCTCATGAAAGCCATGTCTTCCTCAGATTCAATACCAGAAACCGCCATTAACACGTGCCCTCCACACCCTTCTTCTGATTCCAAGAACAGGGTCTCTCTCTCTCTCTCTGAGTATCTCTTAGTGTGTTATGTTATGTTGTTCTTGTTGTTGTGTAGTGACTCGTGAGAGTACTTGGGTCTGTTTTCTTGGTTGAGTTCAGGATCACACTTGTGGATCAGCAGAGAGCCTTTTCTGGTTTGAGTGCATAACCCCTCTCGCCACCATCGATGCTCAGTCATCCATCTGCGGTACTGACTCTCTTAGTTTACCCTGCACGTCCTATACATACATATATATACATACACGTGTGTGTGTGTTGTGAGCAAAATAGGTGTTGTAGAAAATGATGTTAACGAGAGTTATTTGTACTGTGTTTTGCAAAGAGAACCTATCAGCTGATAGCCCGTTGTCCGCAAATAAGCCAGAGGCAAGAGGAGAAGGGAGGAGAGCTGGAAGTGGATCCTACAACGACCAATCTGATGAAGAAGATGACGAGACAGAAGCTGGTCTATCTGAACAGGCTGATGATCCAAACGGTATCAAACGTCTCAGAAGGTGACTTGCTTACCAAGAAAACAAGCTTCAGAAAAATCTCATCGCTGATTGAACTGAAAAAGTTAAATTCCTTCCTTCCCCTTTTGCAAATGGGTGCAGGATGTACTCGAACCGGGAATCCGCAAGACGATCTAGGAGAAGAAAGCAAGAACAACTGCAAGATCTCGAGTCACAGGTAAGAACCCAGATCACCAAATTGGTGATGCTTCTTCTTCATGATTGGTCTTGTTTCTCTGTTTCAGGTTGAGAATCTGAGAGGAGAGAACTCAGTCTTGTACAAGCAGCTCATAGGTGCAACCCAACAGTTCCGGAATGCAGATACAAGTAACAGAGTTCTCAAATCAGATGTGGAAACTCTCAGAGTCAAGGTATTTAGTTCCCCTTTTCGGAAAATAGTTGCTGGACAGAAGAAACCGAAAACAAAGTCGAAGCCTTTTTTTTTTATCTTGCAGGTGAAACTAGCTGAAGATTTGGTAGCAAGAGGGTCACTTACAAGCAGCTTGAATCAGTT